CTAATGAGAAGAGAAGACTCCCTGGAAAAGACCCTGATGTTGGGAAAGATGGAGGGCACAAGGAGAAGGGGACGACAGAGGACGAGATGGTTGGATGGTGTTCTCGAAGCTACCAGCATGAGTTTGACCAAACTGCAGGAGGCAGTGGAAGACAAGAGTGCCTGGTGGGCTCTGGTCCAGGGGGTCACAAAGAGTTGGACATGACTGAACAACTAAGCAACAACATGGTCATCTAAATATGGCCACTGACTTTGCCACATGTATCAATATGATGTCTCCTGATCAGAGTAAATATCTGTCAACACTGGTATATCAAAATGTTACCCCTAGTGTCTCCTGGTGTATGCTACCAGATAAAATGGTAGCTTTCAAATTGTTGGCAAAAACAATGTATAACTGCTTCCTAGACAATTAACTTTTCTAAATCTGCCCTGTTTTCCCAAGATTATGCAAGTTATTTTTTTTTAATTCTTTTTATTAAGTTCTTTTTAAGACAAAAACATACAAAGTGAAGAAACAAAAACATACAAACGAACAACGAAAAAAGAAAAAAGACAAAGCAACACATAAAAAAAGAAAACAAACGGAAAACAAACCAACATCAATTCATAACTTAACATTGATTGACTTCCCTCCATCTCGGTTTTGGGCCATGTAGCCACAATATCTTTCTGCGGTATCATTTTACAACCTCTATCTATACATCACAGGCTTTATATTACACCTACTGTGATTTTAACATTTTCTAAATTTGCTTCTATGTATGTTATGAATTTGTTCCAATCGTTAATAAATTTTACACTTTTTTGATGCCTGATTTTTTGTGTCATCTTTGCTAATTCTATATACTCGAATAATTTAATTTGCCATTCTCTAACAGTTGGGATATTAGGGGTTTTCCAATTTTGCGCTAGCAATATCCTGGTGGCTACCGTTGCATATTGGAACATTGTCTTCTTTCTTGATCTCCTCTCCAACCATTCCCAGGAGGAAGGCTTCGGGTTTTTTGGGGAAAGTATATTTCAAAAAAATTTTTAATTCATCATAAATAAGTCCCCAAAACCTTTTCACTTCTTCACAAGTCCACCACATGTGGTGGAAATCACCCTCTTTTGTTTTGCATTTCCAGCATGTTTTGTCTCCGGTCTTATACATTTTTTCCAACTTCACAGGGGTGATGTACCATCGGTACATCATTTTTTCCATATTTTCTCGGAGTCCAACACATGCTGTGAACTTCAAATCCTTGTTCCAAAGTTTCACCCACCTATTGTAATCTAGGTTATATCCAAGATCTATGGCCCATTTGACCATAACTTCCTTTATCTCTTCATCCTTAGTATCCCAATCTAGTAATTGATTATACATTTTGGATAAGAGTTTGGAATTACCTTCTAGTATTTCCACCTGGTATCTGGACTTTTTCTCATTCATCCCTGTTTTTTTATGTTCGTTCCATAAGGCATTAATTTGGTGAAATTGTAGCCAACCCGTTAATTTATCCTTTAAATCTTCATATGTTCTGATTTTCCATCCTTTATCTGATCTTACCAGGAGGTCTTCATAGGTCCATCTTTGACTTTCCATGTTTAATTTTTTGATTGTTAGAATATCAATTGGTGATAACCACCAGGGGGTGCCTTTTTCTATAAGTCTTTTATTTCTGTCCCATACTTCAAACAACGTTCCTCTGATGATATGATTAGAGAAGCCTTTGTGTACCCTCTCTTTATTGTGCCACAGATATGCGTGCCAACCGAATCTGGTGTTAAATCCCTCTAAATCTAACAAATCTGTGTTTTTCAAAACGATCCATTCTTTAATCCAGCACAAGCACAAGGCCTCATAGTATAGTTTCAAGTTCGGGACGGCAAACCCTCCTCTATCTCTTCGATCTGTAAGTAGTTTAAATTTTATTCTTGCTCTTTTGCCCTGCCAAATAAATCTGGAAAGGGTTTTCTGCCAGTCTTTAAACATTGTCGTACCTCTAATCACTGGGATGTTCTGAAATAAAAACAGCAGTCTTGGAAGAATACTCATCTTAATTGCGGCCATTCTTCCTGACCAGGAAAGTTTTATCCTACTCCAGGTATCTAAGTCTTTTTTAATCTCTCTCCAGGTCCTAATATAGTTATCTTCTACTAAGTTTATGTTTTTCGTGGAGACCCAAATACCCAGATATTTCACCTTTTTCACCACCTTGATTCCTGTTTGCAACTCTAACTGGCTTCTTAAATCTTCAGCCAAGTTCTTTGTCAACATCTTGGTTTTAACTTTATTTAGCTTAAAACCGGACAGTTTTCCAAATTCTTCTAGTAGCTCTAGAACTTTACCGATGCCTTTTACTGGGCATGTTTAGCCTGGAGCTGGGCATGTTTAGCCTGGAGAAGAGGAGGTTAAGGGGTGATATGATAGCCATGTTCAAATATATAAAAGGATGTCACATAGAGGAGGGAGAAAAGTTGTTTTCTGCTGCTCCAGAGAAGTGGACATGGAGCAATGGATCCAAACTAGAAGAAAGAAGATTCCACCTAAACATTAGGAAGAAATTCCTGACAGTAAGAGCTGTTCGACAGTGGGATTTGCTGCCAAGGAATGTGGTGGAGTCTCCTTCTTTGGAGGTCTTTAAACAGAGGCTTGACAACCATATGTCAGGAGTGCTCTGATGGTGTTTCCTGCTTGGCAGGGGGTTGGACTCGATGGCCCTTGTGGTCTATTCCAACTCTATGATTCTATGATTCTATGATTCTACTGGATCTTCTAACGATATTACCAAATCATCGGCGTAGGCCTTTAATTTATACTCTTTTGCTCCAATTCTGATTCCTGGTAGCTTTCAAATTGTTGGCAAAAACAATGTATAACTGCTTCCTAGACAATTAACTTTTCTAAATCTGGTCTGTTTTTCCAAGATTATGCAAGTTAAAATTCAGCCCATTTTCCTAACTTGGTCAATAACAAGTGAAATTCAGAAATGGTACCAAAATAACTGGGTGATCGTTCCTAGGGGTCAGATTTATCACCTGCTCTGAATGTAGGAACCACTGTATAATGCTCTGCTCTCATCCCTTCATGATCTTGCCAAAAGTGTTTCCATTATGGGCCAAGAACAACCCTTCCTTAAATTTTGGTTCAGCCTGTAGCAGCTTGGCAGCAGCCCTCTATAACCACCAGCCCTTTTGTCTGCTGGTTCTACTTCACCACACCCCTTTCCAACTCATCTCAAAGGGCGGAAGGGAAGCAGCACCCCAAAAGGCTGGGGAAAGCCAAGCTCTCTTCCAAGGTTCTTGTGTGATGGCTTCTGAGCATGGTTGAATGTGATCATGTAATGCAGCTCAAACAAAATATAAAAGTATGAGGAAAAGGCGTATATAAATAATAGGGTGATATTTGCCCATCCACTACAGGGCCAAAAAATAATGTCAAGTAAACAATAAGGGACTGTTTATTATTTTGCATCTTCAAACCTATGTGTGATGGCCTAGGATTCAGACTCGGATACTGAACCTGAGGAATCCCAGCCTGCACAGGATTTCCCGCCTCCAGAACCAGCTGAGCCGGGGCTGGGGCATGAGCATGAAGGGTCCTCACCTGTGCTGGATCCTCAGGTGCAGGCATCAGCTGAGTCTGCTCTGGCTCCTGAGGTGATGGAGGACCCATTGCCTGCAGGTGCTCCACTCTCAGTCCCATCAGAGGAAGCTGAGGTTGCCTCTGGGTCCAGTAACCCTCCAGCCTCTCCTGAGCTGCAGAGGCTCAGGGCAGAGAGGCGGAGGAAACTAAGTTCCCGCAGGAGGAGTGCTCGCCTCCAGGCCAGGAGAAGCGAGTTACCAGAGGATCGGGGCTGCCCTATGCCTCGTGGCAGATAAAAGCTGGCCAGCCCCAGTCCCAAGTTGCAGGAGCAACATTGTTGGTTGCTAGTTCCTGCCTGAACCCTGTCCTGCTTTCCTGCCTGAGCTCCTGGCCTGCCCTGGCTCTCTGCTTGCAAGGCTGTTCCTGACTTCACCCGGCTCCCTGCCCTGCACACAGCTTCAGCTACTATGGACTGCCTCCACATTACACCTTTGATCATGGACCGGACTCGGACCTCACCTCTCAAGTAACCCACGGGACCAGCGCACTATGGTTTTAAAAAATCCTAATCATGGGAAGTGGATTTGAACACCACAATTCTCACCCTGGTCTTCCTTTGAAATTCCACTCCCCAGGCCTAGTGACTACTGGGTGATACTAGAGAACACCTGATACCTCCATCACTGAAATCTCACTAGGCGAGCCAATCCTGCCAGGAGATCACCAGGTGAGTCTCTCTTTAAGAGCAAGAATGGCAGGTCTTTGTAATGCAAGTTTGGGGCTTTTTTGTTTGCTTTTTCCTTTCTCAGCGTACACTGTAGTGACACTTACAAAAATGAAATCTATAGTTCTTAGAATCTTAAGTCCATGCTTTTCTGGCTTGTTAAAAGCTATATTTGAATATTCAGCAGTGTGTGTGTCAAATAAGAACTAGATCTCCTTTGATTATGTTTTTTATTTTTAATAATTTTTATTAAAGATTTTCCTCGTTTACAAAAGCACATGCATTGTCTCTTTCTTCAGGTTGTGTTTTCAGATCAGTTAAATTTGTTGTGAGACATTGGTGTTATATGCAGCATAGGCTTGGGAAGAAAAGAGGGGGGACAGGAGGGGGGAAGCTTGTGTTCTTTTACTTAGTGTATGTGTGGGGGTTTTGTGTCAGTGTCACTTGGGTAGATTCTCTTTCTATTCGCTTGTTATGTTTCCTTGGTGGTGAGAGAGGTTTGGGTGTGGTTGATTGTCTTTGGTTGGCTGCATGGGATTTGTTTGTGCATGTGTGAGGGGGGAGTTTAGTTATTCAACAACCTTTGGCCATTTCGAAGTGCTCTTTCATGGCTTGGAGACAATATTCACATTTTCCTATCTTTTGTTAGGAATATAGTCTGCTTCTACAAGAAACATAGGTATTTAGCACAGCAGGAAGTTGAATTTCACTGGATATCGTCATCATCAAAATTATTAAAGAAGTCTGCATGTACTGAATTTTTATTGACAGCTAAATCCATCAACAAACTTGTACTTCCCCCAGCCTCCTCAAGGTCCACGTAAGGCCCCGTGCCCTCAAGGAACATCTTGTCCACTGCTGGCTTCATGACTCCGTAAAACTTTCCAGCCACCCTCCAACATTTTATTTCTTTGTTTTTTTATTGGATAACAACTGACACAACTTTAATAAAGTCAATGGAGCTACATGATTTTACACCAGCAAAAGAAATCTAGGGTTTTCCTGTGTGTAGGGAATGAGATAGAGGCCAAGCCGCAGAGCAACAACGAACACCCAATCACACTTGAAAGTTTTGACTACAAAGTTTAGTTGTGTGGGGTCTCTTGCTAAAAGGCAGAAAGCCTGAGTCCAATAAACTTCAAGCAGACAAGAAGTGCCTATAGTGTTCCAGCTGATGTCTTTATCTCACTGAATTATTCCTCTATCCTCCTTTGCAATGCTCAGTAATAAATTAATAATTTATGCTAAGTGGAGCTGGCTGCTGTAAACCCAGCTGATCAAAACAGAAAATGCAGTCGAGCTTCATGAAAGCTGTTCCTGAAATCCTTGCAGCTTTAACTGTGAACAGAACCTCTTTGGTACATATGGACAGTTTAGGTAGTAGTGGGGGTGGCATAGGAGGGCAAGAGAGAAAATGGTTTTATGAAACTATGCCATAATATAATTTTTCTAAATCCCCTGTCTCTAGCAAATACCTAATTACTCTAATCTGGATTAAAGAGTCCACTGGCATTTGGGAGCTTTTGCCAACCTGATGTGGTATAATGTTTGGAAGATGCTGATGGGGCATCAGTCCATTTGGGGTTTGTGCTTATTTTGGTACTTCCATTGAATAATGAACCACAAGCTATTAACAGTGGAAGCTGGTCTGCCTTCTTGCTTGCATCCAGTCAAGGATATCAGCTTCCTCTTCTCCTCTGGGTGTCCCACTGAGCCCCAGCCACCACTGGGTATAAAACCTAACATGGCCAGTAGCCAATCTATTCTGAATATCTTCAACATATAAATGCTCTCAGGGTTGTAAATGCTTGATGTACATTAATGAGAATAGCCATTGGCAGGCATCCTTTGCCTTCCAGTTTAGTGCTTAACTGAGCAAGAGGTTTGCTTCATATCTTCACTGCACATATGCTATGCAACACACTACTTACTTCCCCCAATAGGAAACATGCACGAGCAATGTTAGTCAACATTGTTCCCTATTGCTACGATGTCATGATTTTTATTTTATTTTAATGTAAGGCACCAATATGCTGGAAACTGTAGAAATTGAGCTCATAACTTGATTGCACATGGCATTCAGCGCTTGCCAAAGCTGACTGATTGAGCCATAAGTCTTTTAAAAAGAGAGTGATATGCCATGACAACAGCGAGGAGAGCACTCTTGCCACACTGGTAACATCTGCAAAGTACTTCCCTGCAAAAGTAACAGCTTCTGTACATGTGGTGCCTCTGTTCAGAGCCAAAGTCAAATCCCGTGTGTTCTGAAGTATCCCACTAAAACTGCAGACAATATTGCTCATATTCAGCACAGTGCAGGATCTGCTTTATCTGTGGCATCAGGATGTTGTTGTTTAGTCGTTTAGTCGTGTCTGACTCTCCGTGACTCCATGGACCTGAGCACGCCAGGCACTCCTGTCTTCCACTGCCTCCCGCAGTTTGGTCAAACTCATGCTGGTAACTTCGAGAACACTATCCAACCATCTCGTCCTCTGTCGTCCCCTTCTCCTTGTGCCTTCCATCTTTCCCAACATCAGGGTATTTTCCAGCGAGTCTTCTCTTCTCATGAGGTGGCCAAAGTACTGGAGTCTCAGCTTCAGGATCTGTCCTTCCAGTGAGCACTCAGGGCTGATTTCCTTAAGAATGGATAGGTTTGATCTTCTTGCAGTCCATGGGACTCTCAAGAGTCTCCTCCAGCACCATAATTCAAAAGCATCAATTCTTCGGCGATCAGCCTTCTTTATGGTCCAGCTCTCACTTCCATACATCACTACTGGGAAAACCATAGCTTTAACTATACGGACCTTTGTTGGCAAGGTGGCATCAGGAGACGAGAGGCTATATAGCCTTGCCCTATGGATCAAGTGGAACGAGAGTTGTGCCAAATAGTTGTCCTGTTCTTCTTTTTAAAAAAAGCACACAGAAATTCCTTGTGGGAAAGACCTGTTCACCAAGTAAGAACACTCCCTTAATGGGCAGGTGGAAGAGATGTTGTTGTTTGGGGCGCATTGTTCAGTACAGCGGTGGACAAAATGTAGCTCTGGATCTGCTGGATCAGGGGCGAAGGAAGGCGGCATGACACCCGGGGCAGGTGTTGCTACATAGGGCGCATGTGCGGTGTCGCTACATACAACACATGCGCTGTATGTAGGAACGCCACACATGCGCTGTACTTAGCGGTTTGCTGGCAGCGCTGCTCCAGCGCCATATGGACGGCGCCGGGATCCTCTGCTCACAGCTGTAGCAGGAACAGAGGGATCCCAGCACTGTCCATACGGTGCTGAAGCGGTGGCACCGGCAAACTGCTATACAGCGCATGTGCGGCGTCACTACATACAGCACATGTGTGCAACGCCGCACATGCGCTGTACTCAGAGGTTTGGCAGCGGCAGCGGTGCAGGGAACCTCTGCTTGCAGCTTTAGCCGTGAACTAAGGATCCTCCACATGAGGCTGCAGTGGCTGCTCGCATCGCCACGAGCCCCCATGGGGTGACTTCTTGTCACCCCCGCAGACATGGAACCCGGGGCGCACCGCCCCTGCCCCCCCTGTTGCGACGCCACTGGCAAGGATTCTAACTCCCCATGGTTTACCAATAGCAGCAACAAAATAACCCCTCCTCCACTGCCCTAAATCATACTGTTGAAATTAAGGCTTAGGGTAATCCGGACAGAGTTTTTGTGTGGAAGAACTGTAAGCTCTGCACACTGCTGATATTCAAAAGGTATTTCTGGGCTCAGATTTCTATGATTCTGAGTATATGTCTTTTGTTCGGGGGTTCTAGAAGTAAAATTCAGACAAAAGTTGTTGAGCTTTTTTCTGGGAAATGAAACTTTCTTTTGGGAAATCAACCTCAAAATCCTGGACATTTTGCCAATTTTCAGAAATTCCCCCCAGGTGCTCTAAGGATATATACACACATCTACACACATGAGCTGACTGGAACTGATAAAAGTTGGAGTCCAAACTTCTGGAGAGCCTCAGGTGAAAGACGTCTGCTGTAAAGCTTCAGTTACTACTTCCAGAACTTACCTTTGGAGAGGTAAGGTGATAAATTGTGGGTATGATATTGTGTTACATTCGTCCAGACAAATCCAGATCATCAGCCTTCATGAACTGCTCTTTCTCTGACTTCCCTTTATCTTGAATCAAGAGGAATTCTAACAGGGGACAAAGAATTAAATGAACAAATAGCCTGTTAACTGCAGTCCTCTTAACCCTGATATTAAAAAGTCACTGAAGAAAGTTCCTGGCAGCTATTTTCTCATTCCTAATAGTACTCTGGCAAGTCGGATAATTATTTGTTAAAATTCCACCCTCTCAATAGCCTCTATTTTTCAAGGATCTGAAACACTCATCTGTTGCATGAAATGGGCTTCCCATTGAAATTGCTTCAAAAATACCATATGGTGTTGGCTAGTTGATAAAAAACCAATTAGCATTTTTAAATAACTTGCAGAGAGATTTTGTGCTTAGGATTTACTTAGTCTGACCTTTAATACAGTGGTACCTCGGGTTAAGTACTTAATTCGTTCCGGAGGTCCGTTCTTAACCTGAAACTGTTCTTAACCTGAAGCACCACTTTAGCTAATGGGGCCTCCAGCTGCCGCTGCGCCGCTGCTGCACGATTTCTGTTCTCATCCTGAAGCAAAGTTCTTAACCCGAGGTACTATTTCTGGGTTAGCGGAGTCTGTAACCTGAAGCGTCTGTAACCTGAGGTACCACTGTATTTATTTTGCCTTATTTCCACCTTTGCTAGCCTGATGGATTCCCCTCCCAACAGCCATAAGCCAGAATTGCTGGTTAAACCTTTTGGAGCCCCAAACGTCTAGAGGACTCAAGGCTGGAGAAACCTGTCTTAATTTGGCTTTTTGTCCCACAAATGTTGTTTCCCCTTCACAGAACTTTCCTTCCTGTTCTTAGTCTTATTCAAAATGTCTTTCATCTCTAAATCATCTTCTAAAGTTTGCTGGTTTCTTCATATTTCTCACCATTTCTTTCTTCTGGTTCTGAAGACAAATTTTCCCTTTGACCTTGTTCATTTTCTTCTTCCTCTTTTTCTACTTGCTGCCTCAGAATGGCTCCTGCGTCTTCATCTCATTATATAGTTAGTTAGTTAGTTAGTTAGTTTAATTTATCATTATTATTATTATTATTATTATTATTATTTATTATTTCATTCAAGCCACTGATTAAAAATGATTTTAAGCTGTGAACCTATATGCACTTCCTGGTGGGAGTAAGCCCTGCTGAAAACAATGATATTTACTTCTGAGTAGCCATGTATAGGTCAAAGGTTAAGTCATTCAAAGGCAACCTGCAGTTGCTCATCTCACTTCAAGCTGAGGGAGCCGGCATTTGTCCAGACAGCTTTCCGGGTCATGTGGTCAACATGACTAAACCTCTACTGGTGCAGCGGAAATGCTATTTACCTTCCTGCCACAGCAGTACCTATTTATCTACTTGTACTGGCGTGCTTTTGAACTGCTAGGTTGGCAGAAACTGGGACAGAGCAACAGGAGCTCACTCCGTCATGGGGATTCGAACCGCCGATGTTCCGATCAGCAAGCCCAAGAGGCTCAGTGGTTTAGACCACAGTGCCACCCGCTCCCTTCAAGTCATGTATATGATTGCTCGGTTAATCTCCAGAACCACTTCTAAAATCATTTTCAATAAATTTTGATCCACTTCCCTCAAAAAATAAAATAAAAAAGAACTAATTCCAGATATATCTTCTTCTAGGTCACGGAGGGATATTTTCCACCTGATACTTCTGCAATATGTTCATCTAAATTATCAATGTCTTCTTCCATAAGTATGTCATTCTTGGGAGGGGTACCTTCTCACTGTACTTATTACGTGATTATGAG